GGGAAGCCGAGCTGGGCTTCCCGTCCTGGGATCGGGCCCTTGTGACAAGGGCAGGGAGGTGGTGGAGGTCAGGGCCAGGGGAGGGGGGGGGTTGAGGCTGCGCAGCTGCAACTGGGACTGAGGGTGGGACTGGGGGTGGGACTGGGGGTTGGAATGGGGAGGGGGAAGAGAGGGCGGGACCCCTCGCCGCGTCTGCGCGTTAGAGTCGAGGTCGGAGCAGGAGCTGTGAGGGAGGGGGAGGGCCTCCTCCTCGCGGGAATCCTCGGAGGAGATGTCGCTCTCGGATGCAATCACGAACTGTTGCGAGGGCTTTGAGGTCGATTTCTTGTTCCAAAAGAACATCTTTAGTAAATAATGCGGGGTATGAAATGGTAATAATAGGCACCCTTATAAACCCATACCTTTATATATCTATATATATATATATATATAGATATAGATAGATATACTATGTATATAAACTATAGAATTTAAGTATTGAAGCCTTGACCAACTTTCCTCCTAAAATATAAAGCCTCCTTTGTTTTACTATCATTAACAGAAGACAACCTACTGATGACAATTGAAATAAAGAGATGAAAAAACATATTTTTGTTTCAGTGGTAAATAAAAATTAAGTAATCGAACAAGTCACTTAGAAAAGGTGGTGGTGTTTATAATTGGAATCATAAGTAACCAAAAAGAAGGCTAATAAAAGCATATTCTCATATATACCCTATGCCTCCCAATATCATAAAAAAAAAAAGCAGGTAAACATATAGAAAAGAAAGGAAAGGGAATAAAAGTAGAAAATATAACGTTAGTAATATGAAGAATCACTTCAGTGTCTCTTTTTTGACCAATATTTCCTGAACACGATAATATTTGAAAAAACAAATTCTTATAGAATGTAAAAATTATTACCCTTATAAGCGCACCTTTAGTTTGATGGCATCATATTTAGAATTCAGTATGACATTATCATTGAGTCCAAGCTTGTTTTATTTAATTACTTATTGAAAGTAAAGGAAAAATCAAAATAAAATAATAAGAATCGCATTTTCATTAAAAAAACACAGTAATAAGATTCAAATAGATTTATAAATGAACATATTACACTTACTATTAATATTGATTCGTCTTGATTCGACGAAACAAAAATTCATTCACAAAAAATCAGATTCAAAATTCTATATACTGATAAGTAAATTTCTAAATTTAGATTCTACATTAACAATGAATATATCTAAATATCAATACGAGAGCCAAGCAGATAACTCCTCACATACAAAATAAGAAATAATACTTTCATTAATGAAAGAAAGGTGGATATTTTTGATTAAAAACTTGCTTTATCTATAATGAAATCTATTCTAACAGTGACCATAAATAATAACCAGCTGATTAGGTTGCCAGCTGCTCATATAGCTTTGAATAATGAAGAGTAGTGTATTCGATAACACAGCAAAGTGCACGATAACCACCCGATTTCGGTTCAGTAATAATGATAATCGAGAAGGCTTCGTTGAGGAAGAAGTCGCGCTAGGGTAATAAATGGTATTCAACGAGCTAAAATGAATGCAAGTTACTTCAAGAAAGGCTTTGAGCTTAATCTCTCCCTTTGATCAGTAGATTACAAAGATACCGCTCCTCGGCAACGCATTCACTGAGATGTTTTAGAGTCTACGAGATGGACCCAGCATCTTGCGCAAGCACACGCGGCAAACGTAAGGGTTTTACATTTTTCTTGATATTTCTCAACTCCCTTTTCCTGCCGCACACGTATCGGACAACCTGTATCGCCTTGTGTAAAGGCCCGAGGTTACTAAGATTCCCTGTAAGATGGGTGAAGCAAAAGGACAGAAAGGCCTGATTCGACGCCCTCCAAGCTGTTTCCCTGTGACAAGTCCTTCAGGGTCCCTCTTCCCTGTGAGAGGCCTCTTCGTGGCTGAGAGGGTCTACGGTTCGGAGGCTACAGGAGGCGGGCCTGGCCGTAGAGGAGCTCCCTTTGGCGAGAGGTCCAACGCGAGACCGATCGCTCATGGCTGCACCACCGGGCTGCCGCTCGCACGATCCC